TAGCAACATTAACTGCCTTCTCAAATTGAACCGGTAGGTTAGGTGGTTTAAACTAGTGATAGGACTTCCACCCCCTAGTTAGGTCCCCCCAAAAATATAAATCCACTTCATGAGTGTTACTAGTATTACTGGGATAATAAGTAGATATGCTAGTATTTAGCTATTGTAATAGCAATAGATGATGTTTGATATATATGTAATTGATGATTATCTCAATAAAATCCCTGCATCTAATGCTATTCTACTATAAAAAAAAAAAAAAAAAAGAATTAGTCTTTTATCTAATATATCTATTACTAATTTTTTCTTAATATTTATTAATTAAAATTGGAGATAAAAAAAGACAATCAATTAATTTTTCTAAAAAGAATTTTTGTTCTTAATAAAATAAAGAAAAAAAAAAAAGTTTTTTGAAAAAAAAAATCAACTTAACAAGTTCTTCTTTACTTATTAAAATTTTTTAAAAAAAAGTTTTTCAAAAAATTAAAAAAATTGAAAAAGAGTTTTTTAATTTAAATTATTATTATTATTATTATTATTATTTTATAGTAAAACAATATTAGATGCAGAACTTTATTAAATGACTTATTAATTTTGTATTATATCAAATATCATTTATTGCTAATATAACAGCTAAATGCTAGCCTATCTACTTATTGCTCCAGTGATTAAAGATAGATTCTTAAATTATTTAGCATATAAAATTTCACAGATTAATTATGTTTCTTTTGAAAGAATATAATTATTTATTCATTATTTTAATAGGAACATAATTCAAAAAACATTTGAATCAAGTGGCCTAAATTATAAAAAATCTTTGTAGATAGTTTTTTTTTAATCTTATATTTAAAAAAAAACTTTTTTAATAGTAAGAGATATTTGAATTACAGTATATCCTTATCTTTAATTTAGGAATCTATCTTTACCTATAATACTAATGACACTTATGAAGTGGATTTATATTTTTTGAAGAGGACCTATTTAGAAGATAAAAATTCTATCACTAGTTTAAACCACCTAACCTATCAGTTCAATTTTGTATAAGAGCAATGAATATTATTAACTATTTCCTAAGATTACTTATTATATTGTACTTTTTCACTCATACAACTAATGTGACATAGGAGTTCTAATATAGATATATATTTCCTAGTAAATGCTCCTGGTATTAATTCACTGGTTGATACTAATTATCAAATCTAGGGCTCTTGTGGCAAAGTAAGGCATAACTCTTTAAGGATTATATCTTTAATTTCCTAGTAGATACTTTATTTTATGGAACCAGGTTAATATAAGCTGTCAAATCTAGGGGTATAAATGCCAAGCAGGGCATAACTCCTACATATATAGTAAGCTGTTGAGTAGCCATATCATATAAAATGTTAGTGTTGGTTCAGTGCTTTCTTCAAAGCTTCCTTATTTGATAGTCGACAGTAGAGAGATTAGCGGCTTGAGATTAATTAAAATAAAGTACAGTCCAGTCTACACATCCAAATGTGTGAGTGGTTCTATGGCTCTTTTTGAAGACAATCATTATAATATCATCCAGATGATTGTTACACTACTACATTTTTAATAAAAAGATCATAATCTCAATATCCATTAGATCAACGTGTGAAATGGCTTCTTATAAGAAATAGCACATAACTAATTATGGTGCCAGATACCATATTAATTTTATTTAATCATCTTTATATGGAATTAAACTAATATCTTGTAATTTGATCTGTAAAGCACTAACCACTATGCTATAGATCTACAAATCTAATTTAAATTATTATTATTATATTTAATAAATAAATTTTTTTATAAATTATAAATTTTTATTAAAAAGAAAATATTTAATTTTATATTTACAAACTTTAAAAACAATCAATTTATCAAATATATATTTTTTTTATTATTGACTAACAGAGCCTTACCCAACATTGGTTTTTATTTAGTTCACATATATATCTTATATACTGTATATTACAGGTAATTACTATCTATGAGCTATTTTAGACCACCATGAATTATTATCAGATTTTACCTCCATATTGACTTTTTGCTATTGACCACCATTTCAGACAAGTCAAGATTAATATACATATGTTCTATTAGTATCACTATTTTATATTAAGTTCTATTTTCTAACTGGAAATGTTTTAAGGGGAAGTGAAAGGGGAAACTGGAAGGTATTACCTATTATGGCGAATAGAACTCTGTAGAGGAAACTTCTAATCCAAACTGGACTATCAATAACTTGCAAGAAGAGACACCAGGTACCACGGGAAGTGATTACCAAGCCTTCTTTTCTCAAATCAGACACCTTCTACACCTTTTTGTTGTCCAACTTCTGGCGATCATTATAGCACCAACCAGACGATCATCACACCATGACTTCTTTTCTAGAGATCACAATCTTAACACCTACCGGATCGGCATGTAAAATGGCTTCTTATGAGAAACAGCATATAATTGGCTATGGTACCGGATATCATATTAATTCTATTCAATTGCCTTCATATGAAATTGAACTGGTATCTTGTGATCTAACCTGTGGAGCACTAACCACTGTGCTATGGACCCACAGGTCTCAATTTATCAAATATATTTATTATAAACAAGTTTTATATTTATAAAAAATTATTATAAAAATCAATTTAAGCTATTATTACTTATTTTCAAAAGATATTATTGATGTAATATATTATTATTCTCATATTGTCTATAGTTGTAACATTCTTATTTAATCTTATATTATCTATAATAAACTTATTAAGTATAATGAATTTTGCTTATTTTTTTATCACCTGTAACAAATAACCTTAGCTTTTATAATTAATATATTTAAGTTCAGAAAATATTGTATTAGAATAAACTCAAAGTATTATTTTTGGAATCTACTGGTTTAAAATTGATTTTTTTTTTAATGAAATTTTTTAATCTGTTTCAATCTTATAATTGTCAGAAAGTCAGAAATTTTATGTTCATGTAACTATGGATATAAATCTGACAGATTGGGTATTGGAAGTTGGTCAACCAATTATAATGACAAATTTTTGAAGTCAGGTGGGTTAAACTTTGGTTTTATAATTGTATGAGACTCGTAGCCGATTTCTCGAAAATTCTTTGTATTAGCCTATAATCCGGATCAACGGAAATACAGATTTGGGTTAATTTATGCAAGATCCCTGATCTAGCTTAATTGGGTTAGTGGAGCCAATGAGGCGGCGCAAACGGCATATCACATCCTACTAAAAACAAGTTTTATCGGCTGTATATTAATTTCCGGAAGATTCAATTCTCTGTTCCGGATTACTTTCGGTACTCTTCGACTCAAGTGTACGTAAATTACATAGGAAATGAAAATGTCTACAATTCTGACAAGGGTCTTACTGCAGGATCTCGCACAATTATTTGCCGAAGCTGATGATCACAACGTCGTCATCAATGTGGGTCAGGGTGCAGAATCCGAAAACTTTAAAGCACATTCGGTGATTCTTCGTGCGAGATCTCCTTACTTTCGAACTGCACTGTCGAAAAACTGGGCGAAAAAAGAGGGAGATTTTTTGATATTTAACAAACCGAATATCACCCCGAACGTATTTAGAATTATTTTGAAGTAAGCGCATTACTTTAACTAACGTGTGCATTAAGATTCCCTCGAAACTCGGGAATAACTCGATAACTTATTATTTAGATATATCTATACAGGCGTCTGTTCGTTTGAAAATGACCTTCAGAGCATATATATGGATATTCTCATCGCCGCTGATGAACTTGCTCTCCCTAACTTGGTCTCATATGTACAGAATCATATCATTTCAAATGATCCTTCTTGGTTACAACAAAATATTGTAAATGTTTTAAACGTCACTTCTTTGCATGAAACGTTCACCATTCTTATTGATTACTGTGGTAGACTTATCGAGGAAAATCCCGAAATACTCTTTAAATCGAAAGACTTTTGTACCATCAAGAGTTCCACGTTGACACCTATTCTCAAGCGTGATCTTAAAATCGAAGAGGTGGAAATCTGGGATCATTTGATTGCTTGGGGGATTAAACAAAAACCGGAGCTTGATGCGGACATAACCGGGTGGAATTTTCGGATATTTAAAACCTTGCGAAATCGACTTGATGGCATGATCCAACATATCAGATTTTATAATATGACCGGCCAACAATTTTATGAAAAAATTTGGCCGATGAACGGTATTATTTCACGAAATTTAGTTGATGAATTGCTTCGATTTTATCTTGTCCCTGGGAATAAGGTTCCAAAAAATTACCTACCGATAAGAAGAAAGTTATCAGGTATTGTCAGTTCATCTCAGTTGGCAGTTTTAAAAAACTGGATTGAAGGAAGCAATGAAATAGATGTAAACTTTTCTGATGATTTGTGTAAATTTGAACTCCTAATTCGAGGTAGTCGTGACGGAATGCGTGTTACAGATTTTTTTGGTAAGTGCTCAGGTATCGGACCTACAATAGTGATAATTAAAGTCAAAAACTCCGATAGTATTGTTGGTGGATATAATCCTTTGCCCTGGACTTCAACGAATAATTGGAAGAAATCTATTCAGAGCTTTCTATTTTCATTTAAAAATCAAAATGATGCAGACGACGCAATCCTTAGTCGCGTCATGGTTACACACTCATACTATGCAATAAGGGATTGTGGAGTAGATAATAGTTGGGTGGGATTTGGTAATGGCGATCTTTCATGGTTTCAGGGTGTTTGTGAACGGCACACTTATGAAAAAAGTATATTGGATTCGACCGAATTATCAGTCGAAGATTATGAGGTATTTCGAGTGGTTGCAAGATAGCATTCCATGTTTAAGAAGAATCATCTATTAAGAGAACAAATCTAGTTTTTCTTAAAACCTTATCTTGGATTGTATGCTGCAGATCTCACAGATGAAAAGAATTTTTAAGCATCGTGCCCCACATACAGCACGCAGTTGTACTTCATAAATAAGCTGTTCATGCTAACACAAGACCTTGTGTATTTAATAACACTATCTATAGAATAGTATTTGAATAAATTATTGGTAATTTTCTGCGAATTATAATTATCACATTGTTAGTCATACTGTTCAGATAAGCGTACTTAGAAGATAAGGTTTATTAGAACTCATAAATAAAGTTAAATTTTAGATAGAAACGTAGCACGGCAATATATTGTATGCGCCTAGTTCTAAAATATTCTTAATTCGATGTTCTATGCCCTTTTAATTTTATATTCCAACAATTGTTCTTCTGTAATCTCACTTGGACTCGCAACCAACAAGTCATTACCAGACGAGGTTTTGGGGAACGCGATCACATCTTTGATCGACGTGGTGTTGCATATTATCGCCATCAACCTGTCAAAGCCTATCGAAAAAAAAAAAAAAAATTGTATACCCTTAGCAAAAAAAACAATCAATTTAGTGCATCGCCAGAATCAAAAACATTAAACCTAGAGCAATTCCTCCATGAGGAGGACACCCATATTCGAGAGCATTTATTAAGTGATCGAATTTTCTTTTTTGTTGGTCACTCATCTACAAGAAATCAATTATTGATTGTATGTATATGTATAATAGACAAAAATACGCGACACCGTTAACGCTACCTTTAATATATCGTTAAAGATAATGTTTTGCAAGGCCGATGAGTGAATCCTAATCGATCCTCCGCCAATTTCCACTCCGTTCAAAATCAGATCGTAATGTTGACCTCTTACCTTAAAGTGATTTGGGAATAATTTAAGCAAAAAGAAACGAGTGCGAGATGTGCGATCATTACCTTTTGGGGGTCCTTCAAAATCAACTCCAAGTCTTCTACAACGGGTGATGTAAATGGGTGATGGGTTGAAACCAATTTTTCATGATCATCGCCAGAAATGTTATCATTATTCTTTTCACAGGTAAACAAAGGAAAGGATTCAACCCAAAGAAAATTATATTGGTTGGGTTGAATGTTAAGGATTCCTTAACCGTAATGATAACAATGAAAACGGTTTTAATTACATCATTTGTGCTTAGATATATATATAGATAGGTAAATAATTTATCGTTCAATACCCTTTGATTGTAAGATTTGTGCACAAGCCACACGAATACGTCCTAACAACGTCCAACTTCCCTACACGAATTTCAATTATATGGAAAAATAAGTATACTATACAAAAAAAAGAAAAAAATAATAATTTTTTCCTTCTCGACAATAAGTCATGATTACCGAAACTTCCGCTTTCCGTTTATTGAGAATTACCAGATCTCCGACGTCAATTCTCAACTCTTTGGTCACATTTTCTTGTGCAAACACATTAGTCTGCACTGATGAATAATCACCAAAACTGTTTACAAATTGTTGGAATATGGTCGATTCTGATAACCACGATGAAAAATTGGTTGGTGTGATTCTTATGAAATTTGGTTTCTTTATTAAAAATGAAGAATATGTGCCTTATTTTAAAGAACTGAATATGCACAAAATTTTGTTGCTCGCTACTAACCACCGTAGGTTCATTCGCCTCAACCATGAGCATTGGGTTGTGATTGTGAATATTCGCCAATTCTTTCATCGACTTTATTTCACTACTTGTTAATGAAGTAGCACCGTTCTTTATAACCAAACATTCAATAATGTGATCCGAATAGTCTAGGTGATGTCTTAGATGAAGAGAAATGTTCTCGATCTACAATTTTAAAGCACATTACAATTAGAATGGATGATTAGGATCACCAGGGTATATTGTGAACACAATAATAAATACCTTTAGGTCATATCTTGTATCAGGTTTATCAGACCCAAACTACGTCAGAAAAGAAAGAAAGAAATGTTGACGGCTAATGATAGCAGAATTTTGAAAAATAGTCAAGGAACCCACTTTGTTCATGACATCCCGGTAACTCAACCTGAGAAATGGTGTCTTGTCTTCAATATCAATTCCAACAACTTTCTTCCAAACTTCTATCATTAACCTCTCAATCAACGACATTATCTCTGAGACTGATGTAAATGACATCTCTAGATCAATCTAAAACAGTTTAGGATGAATCAAAGTAAATATTGACTATCAAACAATAAAAAAGTAGGGAATATGATAAGAGATGACAAGGATTTTTTATTGAACCTTGTGCACATTGAAAGACAAACACCTGAGTAAATTCGGGTTGTCTATCAGTCCTCAAATCTTCATCCCTAAAACATTTCGCGATTTGAAAGTACTTATCGATCCCTCCTGCCATTAATAGTTGTTTGTACTAGTAAAAGTTAACATAAACGTCTGGAAAACATATATGATGTTCATATAAAAAGAATAAAGAGAAACTCAACTTGCTGTGGACTCTGTGTGAGAGCATAAAATAACCCCTCCGATCTGGTGGGCACAATGAATTCTCTCGCTCCTTCTGGCGTTGATTTAAACAATATGGGCGTCTCCACCTCTATAAATCCTGTTACAATGGAATAAATGTTAAATACGATACGTTCTTTTAAATAGAGATGGATGACCTTAATCATATTTCAGATTACCATTGCTCATGAGAAAATCTCGTATGACCCATGATGCGAGAGAACGTTTGCGAATATTACTCTGGAGTGAATCCCGTCTCAGATCTATGTATCTATGTTTCAACCTGATCTCTTCATTTGACTAAATTTATTACGTGATTAGTGGTGTAAAACGAAAGTCTGCTATTTCTTAAACGGGAACCATACAATTTTCTCATCAGAGATCAAGAAAGGTAGTTTTTTTGCAGGGTTGAGGCAATATAATTTATCTATCTCCACTTCAATCTCGCCTGTTGACATTTTCTATTCATTTTCAAATGTTGTTCGTTAGGATGAATTGATAGTATCCTGTGAAAATCAATGTTAACAGCGCGACATACTTTGTTGATCATTTCATCTGGTCTCATTTGGACAATCCCTTCGGCACAGATCACACTCTCTGCTGATAATTTTGAAAGCACCCGTTCAATGTCATTCTTATTCGTCGATTTGGAAGTCACGGGTCGATATACAAGTTGCGTGGTACCAAAAGAATCATGTATTGGTAAAAAATATAAATCGGAAAATAATTTGCTACTTGGGCGTAAACCACGAAGTTCGTATGGTACCCTGGCCTACCGATTCACTTGTTCTATTAGCTTACCGTAATTTATGAGCCCATCCGCATAGAATCACGCGTTCGTTGACGTTGGAACTTGTCAGTTCCCCGCAGTGATGAGTTCGTTTCGGAAAATTGTAACCTCTACTTAAGCTCTCCAACTCTTCTTTGCGCAAATCATCCAATTTTGGGATCAACTCTTTGAATTTTGTCGAACTGGGTGTATTACCATCGAGCGACGTTATCGAAGACGAGAATAATCTCTTAAACGGGTTTGATGTTACCGGTCGGTTGACCTGGTAATAATATGTGATCAAATTAGGCTTAAAGACAAAAGTTCTTAAGCATGTCGTAGAATGATCTGCGTTTGAATTCCGAAATCGAAAATTTTTATGTCTTGCGAATGATTTTGCATTTTGAATTTTATTCATCGCCGAAAAAGAAATTTTTTTTTGATAACGATTGTGATACCTCAATTATCAGTTACATATGGTCACGTGAATAATACCCCAAAAACCACGTTTCCGTAAATTGAATATTTCAATATTTCGGGAAATGAATCAAACGTTAGAATTACAAGAATTATCAAAAAATCAAGATTGTTTTATCGGATTAATGTTTGCTTTTAAGAAAAAGAAACAAAAAAAAAAGCATTGTCGCGTATTGTATGACCTTGCACAAATACTTTTTTCTCGGGTGAATGCGAACACTTGTTTACAGTCTACGGCTAGCGACTTTCAAGTGTGAGTTGCCAGATAGTAAATTAGATTCTCGTTCCTGGTCAAAGCATGGTCTGACATGTAATAGAGTTTTTATAAAGTTGGCATATATTATAATGGAAAGCTGAATATCTGAATTGCGGGGTTTTTTTTACATAAAAGTAAATTTCGAACATTGTGCAGATGACTCATTTGTTTACTAATCGCATTTTACAGAACTACGCCATACAATTATGTTTGTCTTTACGTAATTCGAACTTTTAATTACAATTAATTACAATAGAAAACCCGATCCATTTGTATGACGGAAAGAAATTCTAAGAACATAAGGCGAACAAATAATATATATATATAGTCATTGAAAGAGTCTCGATGGACCAAATTGACAAAAATTACCCTTTTTGCACGCTTACAACTACCAGGTAATATTGATCGTCTGCTCGATAGAGAGCTTACATTCTATTGAAGATTACTTAGATACCTTCCTAGGGAAGCATTCTGCAAGTTTTCACATGTGATCATTAAACAAAAACTTTAATAGATGCGAAATTTTCATGAATACATTGTTTTTGGAGTGAATTTATTTGAAAAACTTCACGCGGGTTAGGCAAAACTACAGTTTCTCATAGTGAGTGAGGATGGAGGATTGAACTCGCACACAGATCAACTTTATTTAACTCTTTGATCTCCTCACCTTTTACATTCATTTTTTATTGGTAGAATAAAATGAAATTTTCTAAAGTACTTAAAGCTGAATGTGTGCCAGAATGGAAGAGAAAGTAAATATCGATTTTTATTCTGTTTATCCGACACTCTTTAAACGTGTGCATACAACTGATTGTTATTCATAACATGCTTTCTTAAAGGTATATTGACTACAAAGGCCTAAAAAAGCTCTTGAGCTCCGTAGAGAAGGAACGAATAACCAGAATAATACAAGAATATAAGAGTAGTGATAGTCCCAGGTCCAAATCACAGAAAGATGATATACCTATCAGTGAAATCCCTATCGCAGGAGGTTGTTGCGGTGAAACTGGTGACATTTCGGCTAATATAAACTTGCGAATACCTCCGCAGTCACATGAAATATCTCGTCGAAATAACATTGCCTATTCCCTACCACTGCTCACTACAAAACGCGAACATTCTTCGATTGAAAGAAATTGTTTGCCTTCCAATAAATCACTTGGCATGCGAAATGTACCCGAAAGAAACAATTCCTTATTGAACAAACTTTCTTTGAGGATCTCCTTAGCTACCAATGAAAGTAGGTTTAGTTTTTCCTTGATCAATGAATATATTATTCACCATCCATTACTCAGAATCTTTTGCGTATACACTGTACGCATCGAACATGATTAGATGCACGAAGCAGGATAGTCTCGATCGACACCTTAATGGACCAAGTGGATGAAGAAGAGAAGAAATTTTTCATTGCTCTACAAAATGAAATAAAGAAAGTCTCAGAATTTTACGACGGTCGGTCATTTGTTGACATGTACCATCAATTTGCGAGCATAATCATAATATTAATACTGTTTTCAAAATCAATATATTTAACAAAATAGAGAAACAGGAAGAAGCTTACCAAAAATTTCAGAAATTGAAACAAGTATTTGAAGAAATATTATCCATAAAAGAGGTATGGATTTCATTATAAACTAGAGGTGCACATATATTGTTGACCTAAGCTTATATGCCTTTTTTCTTGTGATATCGAAAGTGTTCCAATTTATCGCATCCAAGAAGATCTAGACTTTTTTCGTTTATAGATTCAAATGCCAACGTTTCGTCAATGTCCAAGTCATCAACCGATCTTCACAATGACGGAGATATTGGTGATGGCAGGAAGAGGGCATCGACACGAATGATAACATCAATGGAAATCAAAGACGCCATGAAAAAA